CGTGTCAACCGCACTTCTGAGCTGCAGGAAGGACTCGAGAGCAGCGATCTGAACTGTCACTCAAATATTCAGGAGGAACATAAGAAAAAAAAATGTTTACCAAAGATTAACATTGTATTTCTATGTTGTGCTAAGACTCTGCCACAGAGGCTATGAATAGATGTGATTTAAACATCAGAGCACAGTGTTTACCTCCGCCCCAAAGATTTTGCAGTCTGTGTACATGGTAGGAAGTAAGAGATGGGCCCAGGCAGACAGGCAGTATGAGGAAGTAGCTAGTATTGAATGAGCTGGGGTCTCTGTTTCTCTGTGGCATAGCTCTTTCCAAGTTTGTAGGTACACGTGAAAAAAAAGAGCATTCTCCTGAGTACAGATCTGAAGGAAGAGAACTAAGTGGCTTTGGAGGATGTCTTACGGCAGGGGGACAGCCTGGGAAATGCAGGAGGCGCTTGCTTGAGGATGCAGCAAGAGAATAGTGAAGGCTGTCACTGTGGGCTGACCAAAGGTAAAAGCTGACACCCAGCCGTGCAGCCACGGCCATCGAGGGGCTTGGAGGTGACAATGAGCTGCCTGCGCTGGCTTGGATGCCTCTGGTTAATGTGAGGGAGAAGAGGGCGGCAGGGGAGGGATGCAAGTGCTGGAATGACATGGTGAAAGTGGCAGTGGGGGAAACGTTGTGCAAAAATGACGGGGCGGGACTGTGTTTTCAGGGCTAGAGAAAGCCAGGTGCATGATGATGAGTTCCCGAGGAAGACTTAGCTGTGAAGTTACATGCGAAAGGCTGTACCTGAGCGATGTCATGCACAAAGAGCCTGTGATCCAGAAAGAGCATGCGTGTGGGGGCTCAGAAAGCAGTGGACTGGTTTTGCAAGGCAGGAAGGCAAAGAGCCGTGCTTTAACTATGCTGCATTCTCAGCAGCTCACAATCAACCACTCCCTCACCTATTGATTTTTTTTGGCATTTGCTTCCACTTAGCTGTCAGATATTTTAAAAATCTTAAGGAGCTTTGCCTTCCTTGTACAAAAACAACCCACAGAACTACCTGGAGGCTGGGTTTGCTAATCCTGAGTGCATGCACATACGTGTTGGTCTGTTTGTTTGTGCTCAGCTTACTCACACCGCAAGAAAAGTAAGATGCAAAGTCTGCTGAGATGGGGTTTACCGACTTCAGTGGGGTCTGTCAGACCCAAGGAGCTCTGGAGAGCTTTTGTCCAGGCTGGAGAGGACTGAGCAGCAGCAAACGTATTCTTATGAACAGGGATAAGGATAAAGGGGGGACCTGAAGACAGTGCTTGTACAAGGCTGCGTCTGCACCAAGGTGCAAAACAACACGCTGAGGAGGATGGAAGTGAACGGTGCTGATGAGCTGTGGCTTTCGATGAAGCCCGTGCCCCGGTTCCTTCGAAGGGATGCCGACAGCATCACTGCTGTCCTCGCTACCCAGCGCTTACACCCGAGCTGCCCGGGCCCTGCCACGGGCACGCACAACTACAGGGGCGCAGCTCTGGCCCTCTCTG